TCTTTTGTTTTGCTTGTTAAAACAGGAGCTCGCTCCAGAGTATGAGCAAAGAAAGACTCAGTATGACACCTGTGCTGTAGGACTGGAGAGCAACAGGTCCAAGCTGGAACAGGTATGATGGGGCTCAGCCAGGGTTGTGTAACATTCATACTGTAATGAGAGTTTCTTTTAATTTGTTGATTTTTGTTTTTGTTGTGAACTGCAATTATTCTTCCTCTTAGTCCAATTCAGATTCAAGTTCAACATCCTGTGGATGTTCAAATTCCAACTCATAAATTCAAAGATAGCCAACCTTGGTCTCAACTTGACTGTTTTAGCATCTTATGAAACAAAATTGAATATACCTGAGCAGGCAATGATTTAATGTCCCGATGTTATACAAGAAGTGAGGGTACTCAGGGAAGAGACGGCACATGAAGAAAGCCGATATAATCACATTAACTGCATGAGAGAGGTCAAATCCATCTTCCTCTCAGACATCAGAGATTTCTAGTCCTGTGGTTTTCTCTCACTCTCCCCCCGGCCTCTCCTTCACAGATTATTGAGAGTCAAATGCAGAGAGCGGCAGATCAGAGTAAGATCAATCAGTCAATGGACTTACAGGTACGGAGGACAGCTCTCAGGTGAGAAACTGGAGATATATCTGCTATAGATAAAATTAAAAGCTCCAGTGAAAAGACAGGCGTGCACATAACACATGAATTCATGCTTCATAACTGACAAACAAATGATCCCTGAGAGACTCTTTTGAGCTGGCGGCTCTCAGCACGCCTGCCTGCCTACTGCTCAGAACCGTTGTTGTTTTTCTTCGTCTTTTGTTTCAGTTATGCTTCAAGTATCTATTCACCCATTCCTGATCCATGCAGCCTACACATTCGAAAACTTTAGCAGATTTTCTGCTAAACGTGGAGGCGGGCGATAGCCTTGTGGTTAAGGATTTAAGTTGTTAACACAAAGGTTGCAGGTTCAATCCTAAGTAGGAGTGACTCAGGAATTGGCGAATTGCTGTAATCATAAGTCATAAGTTCTTTTACCATTGTCAGGTTAGATTTGTTTTCCTTCCAAGCAGAGCAATAAGTTTTATTTAGATTAACATGAACAGAAATAAAAAAATAGCTATAACTTCAATTTAAATTAAATGAAAATAAGAACTTTTGTCTTTGCAACAAATGGAAATTAAGTTTGGTGTGCGCAACAGACTAATAATAAGTTGTTTTTCAAAGATAATCATTAATTTCCTGCTATAAATCTAATTTTCATGTGCACATAAAATAAGGTTTTGAAAGACTTGAGAAATAGTGTGCAAGGCATGTGGATTTTTTATGATGCTTTTATGATGTTTATCATAATTTTTTGGCACTTGACTATATGGTTTTACTGTATGAAAAAGATCCACTTTATGGTTTTAGTGAATGGAAAAGAGCAGCTTGGACATAAAAAAAAATAGTCAAACAGGTTTGGAAAAACATGAGAAAGAAATTTTAACTAAACTAAAACAAGTATTCTTTTAAGGAATCACTGTATATCCTTCCCTTACAGAGAGAAGTACATTTCGAACACAGCAGAGCAGGAGTCCTTGGGCAAGGTGAGGAGACTGTCTTTGACCATCTGTCAAACCTCTCTGACTCATAACTTAGTTCCATCAGGTCATTTACTTGTCTTTATCGCATCTGTCGGGGTCAACTTGGTGTTAGTTAAGGGCGGGGGGCCTGGCCTCTGTGATAATTCTGCCAAACTGTGTGGAGCATGCGATCAGTGTCGCTCCACATCATGCCAGTGTTCGAACAAAGCTTGTGTAATCATTGCCCTGATGTACAACCAGTGGACCACCCTCTCAGCACGATGGAAAGAGAGACAACAGCATGCCAAACTCTCCCATAACTGCCCGTCCTGCCCTTTAACTTGTTTACAGCTGCTACTTTACAAGCTTTCTGAATCCTTTAATTACGCCAAAATTGACTGCCGGCACGTGGGTACAATAAATTTAATGGCTCAGCAAGAATTTGAGATTCAGATAAGGTATCATGGGTCTTTTTTTTTGCACCAGGCATGCTTTAAACATACGTAAATTATTGTTTTTATCTCCAATTAGAGTATGTAGCATGTAGCACTAGCCAGTTTTTCAAAGCAGATAAACATTGTGTCTCTGGGCTTGCAGGTTCTACGTCAGCAGGTGAAGCAGGTGCGAGAGAACCAAGAGCCCAGTTTGAGACAGATGAAGATGTAGAAGGACCTGGAGACGCTGTTGGAGTGCAAGAAGCAGTGCTACCTCAAGGCTCAGAGTCAGGCGTCTATTGGGCACGTCATCCAGGATATGCTGGTTCTGTGATGCCCTCGTAAAACTCGTCTTTCTGGTCATTAATATATGCATTACATAAAATCATTGTATAAATTATTGTATATGTACAATTGTATGTATATTCATTTGTATTTTAAAGGAATAGTTAAAATAATATTTTTATTTTTTAAAAATGAAAATTTGCTGAAAAATTACTCACCCAGGGCATCCAAGAAGTAGATGAGTTTGTTTCTTCATTTGAACAGATTTGGAGAAAATTTGCATTACATCACTTGCTCTCCAATGGATCCTCTGCAGGGAATGGGTGCCGTCAGAATGAGCATCCAGACAGCTGATAAAAACATCACAGTAATCCACAACACACAACTGGCCAAAATACTAGTCCATAATAACACTTCCTTTAGTGAAAATGTCCACCACCTGTTGTCCTCTTACATCAAAATCCAGCAACATATTTGTTTAAAACTGTTTTGGTAAACGGTGCTTGATCTGTGCATATTTCTCTCCTGATTCAGACAACATGACTTTTTCACTGGAGCAGTCAGTATTATTGATAGAGGACTAGTATTTTAGTCAGAAACAATTATTTGAAGTTAGAAACGTCTTAATGTTGTATTTGTTTCTTACAAACAAGCATAATTAATAAACTGCAGTCATGTGGATTACTTGTGGATTATTGTGATGTTTTTATCAGCTGTTTGGACTCCCATTCTGACGGCACCCATTCCCTGCAGAGGATCCATTGGTGAGAGAAATTTATCCAAATCTGTTCCAATGAAGAAACAAACTCACCTTGGATGGCCTAAGGGTGAGTACATTTTCAGCAAATTTAAAATTTTGGGTGAAATATTCCTTTAAAACTGTATATTATTTAGTACATATAAATGCATTCTGAAGTGAAAAGAACTTATTTAATGAGGGTTGTCTGGATAAGAGGGTTCAAAACTCTCTGACACACTAACTTCCAACAAGTCCTTAGTCTCAGTTTTGACACGTCTTCAAGAACAGAGCTCCAGTCTATGTGTCCAAAGATAATGCCCTACAAAGTGCTACACTTTGGATGTGTCCACGCTCCAGGTTATTTTGGGAAACAACAGCCATGACCTTGGGTAGAAGAGCTGTCCAATTTAGGAATTCAGTTGGATTTCCTTTTGTTGCTCTGGGTAGTGCTACACTAGTAAACAGTCTGACTATTCCAGTCATCATGCGTGAATAGCTTATTTACTAAATGTTAATTTTCTTTTTCTGTCTTTTTCCACTGTATGGACAAGTGAGAAGACCGCTAGGCTAGTTCACTTTGGTATTTTGTATTTTTTTTTTAAGTTATAAGAATTGTATCAAAGTCACACACATTGTAAATTAAAGATGTATACAATTATGCAGTTATTGTATCTATTTTTTAACTTTCTAATGTAGAATATTCAGCAGTTCGGATCCTGTATATTGACCCTGCAGCTACAGGTGCCATTCTGGTGATACTAAAACTGTCTCTTTCTTTCTCTGTCTGGTGCATCCATCCAGAATGTCATTGTTTGGATGAGAATCAATATCACCACAGCATACCCATAAGAATATATAAATAGATCCTTTCTATAAAAATTGATATGCTAGAGCTCCAGGGGTGGTAATTCATTCATTTATTCATATATTTATTATAGAATAATATGCATAGGTCACCCTGAGTAGGTGCAAGCACTGCATTCTGGCGTACTGATGCGTATTCATGTGTCTACAGTATAATGGACATCTGGCTGATTAAATGATTTAATACTGAGTCAGTCTCATTCAAATTGGCCACATCATAATCACAATTATTTTTTCTTTTATCAACAATTAGAATAGAATAGCTAATGTTTTATTACTTTTACATTGCAAAAGGGTGTATGAGGTGATAAAAATTAGTTTTAAAAATTGGGTAGTTCTTAAAAATGTAATATTGGTATCCACGCTGATTTTCATTTCTTACTAAAATGCTTTAGTTTAACCTTGAATACATGTGAGTGAACATTAATCATTATTTTCATGAAAACACACACATATGTTTGAGAAACATCGTCATGTTTTCTAATGACCTGAACAAAAATGCAATAAAAGTTAGCATTTGTGATATTTTTAATGACACAGTGCAGAAGGTCTAAAAGGGTCCTTTCTTTCTTATGATTCTTATAAATGATAAAATGTAAAAATTGTGTGTATGTGTGTAGTATATATATATATTCACATATTCACACTTTTAATAAAAGCATAAACCTACTCTAAAAATTCTTTATTCAATAATTCCAAACAGTTACACCAATATGAAAAAAACATTACAGAGATATCTTTGCATCAATGTATTTTTTAATAAATGTATCCTAACCGTTACGTCACTGACCCATATATATTATAGGCTATATATAGAGACACAAAAAGTAAAATACTAAGGATATAAAAAAGAAACACACGTGCAGACAGCTTTCTAAGAACACCGTTTACCTGTGCGTTCAAGCATCCACCTGCGTTGAAGAGGCGGGGCAAAAGTGAAGGCAGCCGCGTTGAGTGGCAATCTCTTAAACCAATAAGCAAACGTCTGCTCAATATACGTCAGTGCTGCTCGAGCCAAAGACGATTGATTGGATGTCGATGGGCTGCCTGGACACTCGCTGTCCAATCATCGTCCTCCACATGCGGCAGCGAGGCAGTAGTGAGGCTCCTGCAATAAAACAAGAGTAAACGCCGCTTCCATCACCACTGAACGGGAGAGAAAGACGGCAAAAGGGGTCGACCGTCACATTTCCAGGCAGGCAGAGGCTTGGACGGGGGGGGTGAATGTGATGTACTAAGCAAGGGTATTTTCTTTTGGCTTCCACTGACTCCCAGTTCTTTGGGGAAAAAGGAGAAAATAGAAGAACTCATCTGTTTGGATAAAACTCCTGGAAGGTGCATTTGCCCGTCTCAACTTTCTACATTGGATGTCAATGCATGTGTCACTCATAGGCATATTCCTATCTATTTTTCTGACCAAGGCAGATTCTTGAGAGGGATTCTCTTCCTATCTAACCATGGAGAATTCTCACACCAAGAGTGTGGAAGAAGTTTATAGTTATTTCAGCGTCAACGAGAGCACGGGACTGACTTTAGACCAAGTGAAACGGCAGAAAGAGAAATGGGGTCCCAACGGTACGTCTGATACTTGTGTTTTCTTCACGGCCAGAGACGCGCGACAGACAATTTGAAGTTGACATGAAATTGTTACATTTGTTGCAGTCAGCCGGCTGGAGCGTTCGAAACGGCTGACTTCATCGAACCTGTTTTTATGGCAAGCTGCTGACACATTGATTTTTTTTTTTTTTTTTTTTTTTTTTAAATCAAGCTAGTATCGGTTTTATGCTACTAGTACTTATTTAAATGACTGGGTATTAGTAAACAATTAAGTAGTGACTAGTATATTGTTCACTTCTGTAGTTTAGGTACTAGTACTTATTTTTAGTTACTTTAACCATTTTTCTTGGTTTTCCTAAATTATAGACACTAGTTGTTAATTCCATTTGTTACTTTCAGCGTTTTTAAGTTTATTGGTAAGATAGTTAATAGTAGTCATCCTGACAAGTAAAGTAGTAATTGCAGCTAGTGAGATGCCAGTAACATCTGGGATTTATTAGTAGGGCTGGGTATCGTTCAAAAATTTTCAATACCGATACCTTGACTTTGATACCAGTTCCTGAACGATACTTTTTTCGATACCAATTTTATGAAATCAATTTTAACAAGATTACATTATCTAAAAAAATAAAAAAAAACTTTTGGTTTTATTTTTCAGCTATAGAAACTCAAAGACTCATCTCCTGAGCCACTGCACAAAGGAACAAAATGTAACCAACACAATAAATCAGTGCAAATAGTTTTAATAAAGCTCAAATAGTCTTCAGTTTACACATCTGTTGGGCTACATTTACACTAGTACGTGTTCGTTTTAAAACGCGTAGCTCAGACAGAATCATGATTTCTATTTATTTTCTACTGATTTACTGATGAGCATTAGCAGCTTCCAGCGCTGTCTGTCTGTGTTCTCTCTTCCATGAGCGCTGCTCTGACTCTGAGTCAGAGGTAATAACATATTTAATTTCAGCAACATTACATGGCCAAAACACACATTAGACGGCAATCGGAAGTTATTACAGACACCTGATGGTGGTTTAAAGTGAGTTTTGAGTAAAAGCAGAATATAAATCTTAGTTATTGTCTAATGTAGCATGATACAGTTTGCATGAATGGTCACATAACACGCGCTTTCTGTCGTGTAGTATGAACGGACATCTGCATATGATCGGAACTCCACGCAGCTCCTGCACTACTCTCCATTGGAAATGAATGACTGAATGACCGGTCTGTCGCTTGTCGGAGATAGTGGAAAGCCAGCTTGAAACGCCAGTATGATGAGGATCATTTTCATTTTAAAACATAAAAGCACCATTGTAAATTCTAGCCTTACATCTAAGGGGGCTGGGACGCATTCGCACTACAGCCTCACATGTGCGCCACATCTCTGAGTGTAACCAGGGTAAACTAGTAGGTGTGTTCGATTTGACACGGACTGACTGTGCAGACCGATCAGTGTATTACAGTACCACGAGTGCTAAAGAGAGCAGACTGCTCCGTGCGCTTTCGAATCGCTCTCGCGGATGTCAAACACTGATCGATCTGCGCCGCACCTCTTCTAGTCGAACACACCTGCTAGTGCTACAGGCTTATTGGCTCACTGACGCTGATGAGATTAACCCCTTAGGTATCGAAATTTGTTACCGAACGACGAGACGTTTTTCGATACTTGATGGTATCGAGGCATTTCGGTTTGTGCCTAAAAAGTATCGAACTCGATACCCAGCCCTATTTATTAGATACTATCATCTAATAAATAAGGACTAGTAAAGATTGAATATGTGTAGAAGCAACTACTGGGAAAGAAAAAAAAGTACTAGTACCTAATGAATAGTTACTAGTAAAACTAGAATAGGTTCCAGCAGCATCTGGTCTACAGACTAGTCGGAACTACAGATTCCCATAGAAATCAATGGCAAACATTTTTAAATAGTTACCAATAACAATGGAATAGACACTTGTCTTTACTGCCATTGGCTGATATGTAGCCAAGAAGTCTGTACTAGTGAAACTGAAAAATATTAGTTACAGTTGTATTATCTACAAGTGATTAATAAGTGCTGATGACATAGAAATGGATGCTACTTAGAAAAGAAAAAAAATGTTAAAATAGCTTGCCATGCTCATTTTCATTGACTTTGACAAGGTGGAAAACAGGCACACATAGGTCAGAAATAAGCTGAAAGAGATGTTTAGCTCCCACCCGTTTATTATGTCGCAGGACAATCAAAGCTAGCATAGCTAAGGCCGGTCTCCAGTCTTTCTCTTTCATCCTTTATACAGAATCATGCTTTTATGAAGATATGGATGAAAATATCCCTGTCAGCACCCGGCTCAGAAACGGCTTGTAAATGTTTCACAGCATGTGCTCAAAGAGGGGCCAAATATTCACTCGTTTGGATTAAAATCAAATATTCATTCACATTTTTCCTCTCAGAGTGGAAGGTGCTTATGACAGTTAATCTCTTCTGAAATATTACATTACATCTTGGGAGTAGTGTTCATCAAAGTTGTTGTTTTTTTTAAATCTTTTTTTATGTTTCCATTTAATCTTTGAGTTTTAATATGTTCTAATAAAGCTACAGGTCTTAATGTAATTAACAATTGTGTTTTAGTCAATGTCAAATCAATTTATGCTTTGGAATGTATTCAGGGTGTGTATTTGTAACTTTTGTATGCTTTCTTTTTCATATCCTTCAATAAACCAATCAGAATTGCCTGCTGAGGAAGGTAATATTACATTTTAAACAATAACATGATGTTATCATTCTACTCATGTGATATTGATCGATTTAATTTTGATGTTTGACAGGAAAATCTATATGGGAACTTGTCATCGAGCAGTTTGAAGATTTACTTGTGCGGATTCTTCTATTGGCAGCTTGTATATCTTTTGTAAGTACATTTTAGTCACATGTTCAGGCAGATTTCTGCACTTATTGTTATTGTGCAATATTCTTTGAGTGCAAATAGAGTCAGTACAGCCATTTCTCAGATGTGATTCAGCACAGATTCATGTCAGGTGTTGATTGCTTTACACTAGAAACAAACTACAGTGATGCATGCACTGAAATAAACACCGACTGCTATCCGGAAGAGCTGTGAATGTGAAGATGTCTTGTTAGCTCCTTGAGTCTTGCATGCCTCGTCTTGGGTTACTCGCAGATCCGAAATGCTAAACAGCTGAGGAAGCGGAACTCCTTAGGAATGGTGACAACAGCATTCAGTGAGATTGAGTGTCTGTCACTAACTGCCAAACAAGATGTCTTAGTAGTGCACTGCTGTTTTACAGCCATGGTTTAAGGACCTCTTGATTAAGTAGCATAGATAGATTACCACTGAATGAAGACATGTGGCTGTTTGCTTGGAGACTTAAAAGTGTTGTGTAGTTAGCTTGTCAATCAAATTTATGTATGGAACCAGTGCTTAAAATAGTGATGGTGTAGCCTAGTGGTTAAAGATTGGCCCTAGTAAGTAACAGGTTGTTGGTACAAAATGCGCATGGGTTAATATCCTATATGAAAGATTTTTTTTTAAAGAACTATTCACAAAATATATGTATGTATGCATGTGAGTGTGTGTGTGTGTATATATATGTATGTATGTGCAATAATTGTGCTTTAATGTATTAAAATATTAATAACTACAAATAACATGGGATAGTGATTAATAAATTACTGCAATATATTGCAGTTTTATTTTTTTGTGTAATAGTATTTATATATCTCTCTCCATCCATCTATATATATATATATTTAAAAATGTGCAATAATTGTGCTTTAATGTATTAAAATATCAATAACTACAAATAACATGGGATTGCAATATATTGCAGTTTTATCTATCTATCTATAGCAATTCATATTTTAATGTTGTGTGTATATATATATTCACTCATTCATTTTCTCTCATAATATAACTAAAAAAGTAAGGATCTTTATTCTTTGGCTGGCCAAAATCATTAGTTACAATCCATCAGATGAGATTAAACTGGCTGGTTGGGTGGAAGGAGAGAGGTATGCCAGCATCACCCAGCGGAGTGATACTGAGGTGTTGGAGTCTGTGGTTTGACAGCTGTCTTGTAGTTGGCTGTGTAAGAGGGCATCTCTGCAGGCCAAATTAGGCCTTCTCATTACCACAGACCAGTAACTCCACTGTCTCGTGAGAACACCACCAAAATGTTGATTAGAGGGCTTCAGTCTCGGCATATGCTCTTCATGCTATGCATCTAAGGACTTTCTGTCCGAGAAAGATCTTGCAAATCCATTTTTAAAGGTGCAAATCAAAGCTGCTCTCTAAGTTGCTATAAAAGTCTATGATGTGAAGGAAAGTAAATAGATGTCGCAACTTCTTATTTTAGGAGGAGTCCATATGTAATAATGCATTTAATGAGGGAAATAACATGTCGTGCTGTGGCTGCAGTGAGCTGTAAGAGTTTTATTTCCAGTCATTAAAACATACTGCTGCGTTGGGCTTTCGTCATGCCGCTCGGACCCGTTTTTTTTCCCTGTGTTTAAACTTTTTGTTTCAAATCATGCAGATTATGCAATCTAAACGGTCTCATTTGTAAACTGGTTGTGTTGAATCTGTTATGAGAAGGTAAATGTCACTGGCGTGTCTTGACTAGAATCTTGATCTACCAGTCTTAAAATATCCACGGGGTATTCTGAATGTAAAATATTTTATTAGATCTAATGGGACGTGTTGTGACATGACTTTTTTTATTTATTTTTTTTATTGCAGGTATTAGCCTGGTTCGAGGAGGGAGATGAAACGATCACCGCCTTTGTGGAGCCTTTTGTAATCTTACTAATTCTTATAGCTAACGCCATCGTAGGTGTTTGGCAGGTCAGTAGAGCATGAAAAGAGTCATCAATTTAAGTATGTCATTTCTGCACAATTGGAACACATAAAGACTGTTATCAAACGGGTTTCTCACATCTGTCTAACAGAAAGTTCCATCCCAAACTCAAATGCTGAATTTGCCAGTGAATACAATATTCTTTTTTTTCACATTTGATTCTCTCCATCTCAGGAACGTAATGCAGAAAATGCCATTGAAGCGCTTAAGGAGTACGAGCCAGAGATGGGCAAGGTGTACCGTCAGGACAGGAAGACCGTCCAGATGATCAAAGCCAAAGAAATTGTGCCTGGAGACATTGTGGAGGTCGCTGGTAAGTGCTGCCTTTATATCATAAAGGCTATGTGATCACAGTGTCACTCACTTATTTCTCTGAATTCATTGCACTTCTGGGTTGTTATGTGAGGTAATTACAGCCTCTCAGCTCTCCGGTCTCTGTATGGACCCTGTACAGCTCCACTATAGGAGTATAGGTATTTTTGGTTGCACCTGTTGATTCTCAATGGACTGTGCGTCAGTCCTCATCACATGTTCTCATGCTCTCCCTAGAAGCTTATCTATATCCATTGTTGGCTCTTTTGGTTTGCTTCTCATAGTTTTGCTTTATATTCATTTGGAGATGGCTTTCAGATTTCTCAGCTATTGCAAATAATTAATGTAGTATGTGAAGCTTAAATTTTCTTGAAGTACCTGGAACTTCATTCATAAAACTTGTAGAGAATGATATTAAATGTGATATTAAAAAATCATTTCCCAAATGTTCCTGCAGACAATGCATAAAACGCACTTTGCTAAATGCATCCTGCTTTATGGATCGCACATTTTTTAAATCATCATTTAATTAAAGAATCATTCGCTGATGTTTAAGTCCACATCATTATCTGATCATGATTCTTACTCCTCCTTGCTCCAAAAGTGACGCAAGCTTTGTAAAAAATACAATTTAAAAAAAGCTCTGGGTTTGCTGTGCTTGTTTGTATGGCTGCATAATTTGTGACTGTCACCATATAAATGGTGTAATTGTATATCAATATTATTATAAAATAATAACAGCAACAATATTAATAATAGTAGTAGTAGTGGTAAATAAAAATATTAAACATAAGAAGTATTACTCTTGTAATATTTTACTGTAAAATACAAAGGGGTATTTTAGAAAAAAGAATATAATTAATTTCTTTATTTTCAAACATTAAACCATCAAGATTAAATTTTAGTGGAAAACTGCTGGACGACCTTAAACTTACAATGAAATCAGAATTGACAAATCTTATTTTTATGGGATATTGCAGTGCTTATTATAAATGATTTATCTGTACACATCTTTATTTTTTTAAATTTATGTGCCCTCATAATCTTAAATAAAATAATTTCCCTCCCTCTTGCAACAACATTTTTTTTCTCATCCCTGATTACGTATGTCTCGGTGCAAGAGCGGGTCAACCTGTCACTCACATGAGATCGCAGCAATAGCAAACATCAACAATCCAATGATCCAATCAATTCCCAGTGGACCACATCAAATCCCACCCTACATTTTTCTTTTTTTTTTGTCTTTCGAGAAGTTTTCATATTTCGCAAAGAAGAAAAGACTTCTGTTTAATGCCGACTTTAAAGCTGGTTATAATCACTTCTCATTACAAATTTAATGGAATCACAGCCTTCGAGATTTATCATAGCACTAAGACACATCACACTTTCAGTTTTATTAAAAAAAAAGAATAATGCAGTCCTAGTTTCTGCCTTTATAAATCTCAATTTTTTTTCCTCATTTAATTGTAGGATTAAGTCTAATCATATGCATGTTTTATAGACGAGGCCTCTGCTTTCTAGCATTAATACATGTTTTTGAAGACTTGAGAGATAGGAAAGAATTGAAACAGCAATTGTTGTGATAAAGTGTGAAAGCATCTTCATGCGGGGTCTTTTTTGGGATGGATGTGGTCATCTGATGCATGAAAGAACTGGTAGAATGTTTTAACCTTTAACTGTTTGCAGTAGAACCGGTGCTGTATGTTTTGTGCATAGTGGTAGATGTTATATTTAGCACCGATAGGCTGTGCAGATTATGGAATGGTTTAATTATAATTTACATTGACAATGGTGCAGATGACAGGTTTTCAGCCCCAGGCCCACCGCCCACCCCTTCTGCAGCGTCCCAAAGTATTGCAGCCCGTGACGTCAGATGTGATCCAGACAGACTGCAGTGTCACCTTGGAGAGGTCATTGGTGGAATAGTGCTGTTTTGGTGTTAGTGCTTAGGCCTAAACATGGGAAATTGTCTACTAATGCATTTGTCTCGTAGTTCTGCAGTTTTGCAAAATGTCTCCATCCATTCTTGCAGATAGGGACGTGATGAAAGATTTGACCAGAACCGACACCGTCTGGATGTGATTAATTTAGGAAGAGTGGGTCACCTGGAGCTTTTTGGCTGAATCTGGATAGCATTTCGTAGTGTGACATCTGCGCTGATCGTTTAAAGTGCAGTGCCTGTGGTCTCTCTCTCTCTCTCTCTCTCT